ACAAAAAAAATAAATAAAAAATAAAACTCTTCTGTAGTCATAGAAGTAAACAAATAGCACGATAGTACTTAAACCCAACCTATAAGCAATTACATTAAATGTAAACAGTACTTTAAAAGACAAAGATTTTGGCTGCCGTCTTGGGTCCCCACGTGTGTGCCCCTAATCTCAGCTGGTCCGCCCGAGACCTCCTGAGCGCCAACCCTATTCCCCCGGGAGGTCCCATTTACGCTCCAACAAGATGAAAGAAACTATCATGAACCAGGAGAAACTCGCCAAACTGCAAGCACAAGTGCGCACTGGTGGGAAAGGAACTGCTTGCCGAAAGAAGAAGGTGGTTCACAGAACGGCTACAGCAGATGATAAAAAAAACTTCAGTTCTCCTTAAAGAAGTTAGGGGTAAACGATATCTGTGGAATTGAAGAGGTGAATAGGTTCACAAACCAAGGACCAGTGATCCACCTTAACAACCCCAAAGTTCAGGCATTGCTGGCCGCGAACGCTTTCACCATTCCCAGCCACACTGAGACAGAGCAGCTGACAGAAATGCCACCCAGTATCTTAAACCAACTCGATGCAGGCAGTCTGACTAGTTTAAGAAGACTGGCTGAAGCTCTGCCCAAACAATCTGTGGATGGAAAAGCACCACTTGCTACCGAAAAAGAGGATGATGATGAAGTTCCAGATCTTGTGGAGAATTTTGATGAAGCTTCTGAGAATGAAGCAAACTGAATTGAGTCAACTTCTGAAGAAGATAAAACCTGAAGAAGTTACTGGGAGCTGCTATTTTATATTATGACTGCTTTTTAAAATTTTGTTCATGGATCTGGTAAAATCTAGATCTCTATTATTTTTAAGCCCAAGCCCCTTGGACACTGCAGCTCTTTTCAGTTTTTGCTTATACACAATTCATTCTTTGCAGCTAATTAAGCTGAAGAAACCTGGGAATAAAGTTTAAAACAGGGTTAATAAAGTTCTTTGCCTAGGGAAAAAAAATAATAATAAATAAAAATTTTTTTAAAAGACAAAGATTTTGTCAGATTGGATTAAAAAACAAGATTCAACTATACACTAGTTACAATTACTAAAACGTCTGCACTTAACCTCACTGGACTTACCCTCTCATCAAGTGTCAAATTCAGGTTCACTAGGTGTTAGAGTTCAAAGTCCTTTATTACTCAGATTTATTTCTCTGATTCTAGTAGCTAACTGTGGTGAACAGAGCTGTGAAAAGTGAATGACCTATAAGATCGTTACCATTGGTGTCCATTTTAAAAATTATTATGAAAGTATAATTATTTAGGGTTGAATAGTATTGAAGTATATAAAATAGAAGGTGGTTCTGCACCCTTACCACCAAATCTCAATCTGCTGAGGTAATGCTCCGTGCATTTTCTTTTTTTTTTTTTATTTATTTATTTGACAGCATGAGCAGGGGGAGAGGGACAGGGAGAAGCAGACTCCCTGCTGAGCAGGGCCCCCCCCCCCCCAATGCAGGGCTCGATCCCAAGACCCTGGGATCATGACCTGAGCCAAAGGTAGACACTTAACCGACTGAACCACCCAGGCGTCCCTCTTTCTTTTTTTAAAAAAGATTTTATTTATTTGAAAGAGAGAGAGCACAGGCAGGGTAGAGGGGGCAGAGGGGGCAGAGGAACAGGAAAGACTCCACACTGAGCAGGGAGCCCAACATGGGGCTTGATCCCAGGACCCTAAAATCATGACCTGAGCCAAAGTCACCTGAGCCAAAGTCACACTCAGGTGCCCCCCCAAAAAATTAATTTTGAGTGCATAGAGAAATGCCCATAAGAAAATGCACCGAGGGGAGCCTGGGTGGCTCAGTTGCTTAA